GTGAGCGGGGTCCCAAGAGGCTTTTCTGTGGCTGGGGAGTTCTGGGGCTCCCATTTCTCATCCGTGCCTGGGAGCTATCTCCTGGCCTTCCAGATAGGTAAGGGGCAAAGTGTCCTTACTATCCTTCCTAGCAAATGGCCTCTGGGCTCTCTTTGCTATGGGACAAATGCTCCCTCCCCCAGGGCATGCAACTCCCTCGAGAATTGGCTGGATGGCCACTAGATGGCACTGTGTGCCAACAGTGTGACCATAGACAGCCTTGCTTGTAAATCTGGAGAGGCTTCTGCCCCACCCCCACCCCAGTTGTGCTTTGACGGAGGGGTGATCAGTGATCCCCAAAGGGCTGGATGCCCTCAATCAGATTGTTTAAGTCAAGCAAGACCCTGACAGGCTCCTCAGGGGCTCCACGATGTCCTCTACCTACCTCTCCATCACCTGAGGTCAGCGAGACATTTCATTTCCAGATGTGGGGGGCAGGGCAGTTAACTAGCCACGTCTTCCTCACTGACCCTTTCAGGTCCCTCCTCTTGCAGGACTGGGCATGTTTCATGCATGCTCTGGGGACACTGGGACTCTCTCTCCCTATAGCAGCTCACGGCCTGCTTCCTTCCAAGCCATCCAGCTCAGAGGTATTATCAAAGCAGGGATGACATTATCTTTAACTCCTCAGGGCCTGTGGCACAGTCCTAAAAAACACAAGCCCCACGGAACATTTTCTACTCCGTTTTCCCTTCTTGGGGCTTGCAGGCGAAGCTGTTTGCTTTAGCCAGATGTTTTAAAGTATTCCATCTAAACTTTACTCACATCCTAATGGCCAAGGTACCCTTAAAATCCATACCTGAGGCACGCCGCTGCCTGCCAGAAACCCCTGCTCTTTAAGGGAAATACATGCCACCTTCAAACGGAAAAGGAGATGGGAGGTAGCCCTCATCCATCTCCCCTTCTCAATGGCTTAGAGACAGTTGGGAAGGGTCACAAGGGAGAGCCTTTGAGGGGGGTCAATGATGACTTTGGAGAATACAGACAGGGAGAAGGAAACTTCCCAAGGCTGTACAGGCTCTTCACAGTCAGATGCTTTTAAGGCACTACGAAGCAGCTGTAACATGTACGGTGGCGCCCCCCCACCCCAGCTGCCCTCTCCTCTTTCTGAGCCTTTCTGAAGCTGGGCAGGCACTCCCTTCACACCTGGGGCATCCAGGCCAGGGCAGCCCTCATTGCAAAGACCCTCTGTGTCCCTGGAGCCAGTCCTAGGCTCTCTCACAAGTCTGTTTCAGCCCTCGTGGAGCTTGTTGGTTCTCCTGGTTCCTGATCTTCCAAGCCTCTTAAAATCAATACCAGCCCAGTCGGTTCAAACCTATCCAAGGGGCTTTGTCCTATTTTTTGCTTTTTTAAAAATCCTGTTCTTATTTAAGTACCCCAGTCTTCTTAATTAGAAGGGAACTCTGGCATCGCTGGAAGATTTCTAAGCTGGGAGACCCGGATTTAAGTCCCAGCTCCTCTGATAACTAGCTGTGATCTGACTCCCCCGCCCCCATTTCTTACCCCTCCCCCCCAGTAAATAATTTTAACTCTCTGGGTCTCAGTTTCCTCTTTTGCAAATCAGAATATTAGACTGGATGATCTCCAAGGTCCCTTTCAGTTCTCAGAGTCAGGGATCTTTATTCTTTTAACAGAGCCTTTTATGCACAGCCCTTCCTACAATCCACCCCCTGACGATCTCATCATTTTCCAGGATCTCATGCCATTCTTGCAGATCAAGTCACTTAAACGGCCGAGCTAGGCCTCTTCTCAGAACTGGGAGCTATTCAGAAAAATTGACTGTTCAATGTCGGGCTGATGCTTCTGCATGTTTGTGGAGGGTTGTTTTTTTTTTCCGTTCTTGGGAAAATATGGTTTATTACTGACACAGCCTTCCTGCAGAGCATCCCCACGTGCATCTTTGGGCATGCTCACGGTGCTTTAGATTTGCACAGTCCTTCATCCGCTAGTCATTTGTTAGTAAGTTTGTCCTCGCAAACTTTGTCAGCTCAGTTGGAATTAATCTTCCCCCTTTTACTGAGGTAGAAACATGGATGATGAAGACATAACTACCACCTTGGGAAGCAGTGATATCTCTTTCCGTGGAAAGCTTTAGAAACATGACAGACGCCCAGACGCCTGGAGGCAGGGGGATGATATCTCAGGGGGATGATATCTCATTTTCCATGTTTGTGAAGGGCCAGGGATTTCATCACTGCTTGAACTCCCTCCACCTGCAGGCACTCAAGCGATAAGCATTTATTAAGCAACTTCTGTATGCTCAGCTTGGGGATTGAGGATATGAGGACAAAGGGGAAATAGGGTCTCCCTTCAAGAAGCTTATCTTCTGATGGGGAGACAATGTGGACATAGATGCGTATACACAAAGTCATTTTTTGTGGGGGGAGGCATTGGCAGATGGGAGCATCAGGAAGGACTTCATGGAGAGATGGTGGCAGTAGCTGAGTCCTGAATCTAAAAGATGGAAGTAAGGAGGGATTTCATTCCAGGGATAGGGGACAGCCAGTCCTGAATCACAGAGACAGGAGATGGAGCTAGGACCACCACCACCATCATCACCATTATCACATGTAGGGCTTTGAGATTCCAATAACGACCCTGTGAGATGTGTACCAATATCATCTTTATTTTACAGATGAGGAAACTGAGGCTGAAAGAAATTGAGTGACTTGGCCAGACTGAGAGCTAAAGTCCGAAGCTAGGCTTGAACCCATACTTTTCTGACTCCAAGTTCAGTGCTGTATCCATTGAGACCAGATTAAAATGTAATCGGGACATGTTTAATAAAATAAATAAAAATACAATACAACATAGATAATGTTCATTTGTGGTTTTCTAAGTCAATGTGCAGACTGCAGGGATACATTTCTATTTGAGTTTGACACCATTAGCTACTTTCCAGAGATCACTTATGAAGAACAATAAGACATGTCATTTGCTGGGGTAAATGAAGGGAAATAAAGTAAAATATGAGCGTCTAGAAAAGTAGGTTGGGGGGCAGCTAGGTGGTGCAGTGGATAGAGCACTGGGCCTGGAGTCAGGAAGACCTGAGTTCAAATCTGGCCTCAGACCAAACACCTGACACTTACTAGCTGTGTGACCCTGGGCAAGTCACTTAAACCCCAATTGCCTAAGAAAAAAAAGGAGTCAAAATTTAAAAAGTAGGTTGGGATCCAATCGTTACAAGCTTTCATCGCTAAACAGAGGAATTTACATTTGATCCTAGAGCTAATAGGGAGTCCATGGAGTTTATTGAGTAGGAGAATGACATAGTCAGATGTGTGCTTTAGGAAAATCACTTTGGTAGTTGAGTGGAAAATGGATTAAAGAAGGGAGAAATCAGGCAGGGAGTCCTGTTAGGAAGCCAGTTCACAAACCACCTACTATCAGGTATAGTCTCAGCCAGCTGCTTGTGTCTCAGACAAATGAAATGACCCGCCCGTGGTCACATTATCTAGGGAGTGTCAGAAGCAGGATCTGAACCCAGGTTCCAGGATCCAAGTCCCATGCTCTATCCTCACCCCATCCTGTCTCCAGAGACATTGTAATACAATTTTAAAGGCATAACTGGCAGTGTTTCTAATGAGAATTCTGTTTTCAAAGTCTGGATTGGTCTTAGTTTGGCTGAAGTTAATGTAATAAGTCGTTTGGAATTTTGGACTACTAGGTTTGAGTTACCCATTCCTGGACTTTCTCTACCATGCCCCAGAAATCTCTTTACCCTTTGAACTCACTCCAAGCCTGGAATTCACACACTGGAAGTACCATCCATCCCTTCAGTCTTTCCCTCTGACTGGCTGGTTCTTCCAGAACCTCCATTTAAGGAGGGTACCTAGCCCATCCATATCTCATTCCTCTCTAGGCTAGACTCTGGACTTTATCAAACCCTTCCCCTACCAGTTACCCACTCCCCTGCTCCAGTTTCCTTTTATGTGTTATGTTCCCTCATTAGAATGTAAGGTGCTTGAAGGCAGGAATTGTCTGTCCTCCTTTTTGCTTTTACTTGTATTCTCAGCACTTAGCACAGTGACTAGCACATAGTAAGCCATTCATAAATGGTTGATGACTGACTGCCTGATTACAACTCGGGCAGAGACCTGTCACCAGTCATTCAGTGACAAGTAGCAAGGGTTTAGTCAGCAACCATGTTGAATAAGAAAAAGGCCTCCCTGCTAACAAGGACAACAACACAACCTCACTGGTCAGTGACCACTCCCAGTAGGTCCGCTATCTACCAACACGTATGGGGGGAAAGTAGAGATTTGAAATGAGAACACAATTCTTTGAACCCACTTATCCTAGACAGGGCTCTGCTGAGGCTCAGGTATTTAGCACTCAGCTCCTGACTGCTTATGCGTAAATGAGTAACTTCATCCGCTGTTTGGCCATAACAGATGTTTTAAACCATAGCTTGCGTGATGTGTTGGTTTTCTCCTACAGAACTTAATCACTCATCATTTAAGATTCAGCTGTGACCCGGAGAGAAAGGAACCTAGGAAGAGTCGCACCTCATCCTCCCCTTTATGGTCGCACTGGACAAGCTGACCTTACTGCCAATGCTTGCTTGGGGCTCCCCAGGGCCTGCTAAGGATCCCCACTCTTTGTGAGAAATAGGTTGGAAATATCCTCTTATGGCGAGAAAAGGGCTAAGCTAAGACGTTCATCCATGCTCATCATCTGTGGCCCTCGTCTTTCACCTTCTCATTTACATGGGATAGGAGATTCAAATCTGTACTTTTCTTCTTCCTCAAGCCACAGGCTAGACTTCGTAGGACTCAGCTTTGTAGGAGCTGAGTTCCGTGGACAATATTGCCCTGATCAATTATTATTATCATCATTCATATCATCATTTCAGAAACATGATTTCAACTCAGGTCTTCCTGACTCCAAGTACAACACTCTTCCCTACAATATCCCCTCCCCCCCATTCCTTCCCTCCTTGTCCCCCTTAGTACCCCTACCTGTGTATTTGCTGACCCCAGCTTCAGCAGCCACATCACTGAGAGCCAGAATGCCCCTGGAGAGATCGCTGGCCTCTGGATCCATTTCAATGAGGGCGTCTGGGCCCACATTGCCATTGGCGTAATTGGCTATGTAAATGGAGTAGCGGCCAGAGCCCTGCAATGGAAGAGAAGGGGGTGAGCAGGGTCGACAGTTTCCTTCCTCAGTCTATTTGTGCCTTTTTTGTAAGAATCAGCTCTCCCTTATTCCATCATTGACTATGGACCTTTCACTAAGCTCTGCCCTTTTTCCCCCAAGCTCCCCTGGGACATCATATCTACTCTCCATCTTTAACTTCTCTCTCTCTCTCTCTCTCTCTCTCTCTCTCTCTCTCTCTCTCTCTCTCTCTCTCTCTCTCTCTCTCTCTCTCTCTCTCTCTCTCTCTCTCTCTCTCTCTCTCTCTCTCTCTCTTTCTCTCTCTCTCTCTCTCTCTCAACTACTACTGCTAAACTTACTCCATCCACCTAGCACCCAGCACAGGAGAAGCTCAGGAAATATTTGTGGATTGGCTGATCTATCAAAAGGAAAATAATAATTCAGGACAACTAATGTACTTTATATACCTCTATATCTCTTCTACATCTTTTATTATGGCCTTACAGGACTGTGTGGGTGTATGAAGTATGTATACACCCACCAACCCCTCCACAGCCAACCAGCTGCATCTTTTACACCCTAATCTTTTAAACCAGTTTCTCCTGGGAAGACGATCATGAGCCACTTTAAGGTGACTAATGGATGAAGCAGGGGAGGAGCGAAAGGGCCCATTTTCTTCTCCCAGCAACCCATATATAAGCTCTGGGAAAACAGAGATTGTGTCTTTAATGTGTCATGCTCCGTGCTGCTCCTGCTTACAGGATTTACTGAAGATTTCTGCTCTTTTATACTCTCATGACAATGACCACTGCTGCTACTCCTGATCCCTGCACATGGATGAAATTTCTTCATTTGGGGAGAATTTTGATGGGAGTGGGCCTCCTTACATGTAGCCAAGTGCTCGATGAATATTTGACAATGAACAACGGCATTAACTGGGTCAAAGGAGATAAAGTATTGTTGTTGCTGACTTCCTCCACCTTTCTGTGGGCATCAATCTCACAACAAATGTTTAATTAAGTCCCTGAAGAATGAATTGTATTGAGTTCCTCATGCCCAGAACAACCTGTCCCTTTTTGAAACATCTCTTGGTGCTGCACCGTATTTGATTATCACTTATCTTGCCTCATTTCCTAAGGGAATTTGCAATCCAATAGAAGTGAGGAATAATCAAGACAATATGGATATAAAGTTAATTAGTACATATTAATATAAGGGTACCAGAAAGGGTCTATGGTAGTGAAGAGGCATGTAGAGGAAGAGCAGTAGTCCTTGTATGGGACTTGTGCTCATATAGAATCTGGGCTAGGGTCCTTTTATCAACATCTGTGGAAGCTAAGATAACCATAGTCTGAGATTGCCCAGAGAAAATTCTGGATGGGGTCAATTGGGCGAAAAAGAGTGATAACTTTTAGGAGCATCCCATGGTTGGACCTGGTTAATGTGAGTCCAGAACTTGGGGTTGCTGCATCAGAGGCTATAAAGTAATCCCAAGTATGAAATCCAGCCCTTTATCGAGAGAAAATCCTGAGTGGTGTAATTCTTTTCTTTTCCTTTTTTTCATAATTTATTTATTTATTTTTTCATAATTTATTTTGATTTATCAACAATCACTTCCATAAGCTTTTGAGTTTTAAAATGTTTCTCCCCCTCCCTCCCCTCCTCCCTCCTCAAGATGGCACACAGTCTGATATAGGCTATACATATACATTCCTATTAAACATATTTTCACATTAGTCATGTTGTAAGGAAGAATTAGAACCAATAGGAGGAACCACCAGAAAGAGGAAACAAAACAAAATAGAAGAAAAAAATAGCAAATAGTATGCTTCGATCTGCATTCAAACTCCACAATTCTTTCTTTGGATGAGGACAGCATTTTCCATCATGAGGTCTCTGGAGATGTCTTAGATCCTTGCATTGCTGAGAAGGGCTAAGTCTATCAATGTTAGTCATTGCACAACATGGCTGTTACCATGTACAACATTCTCCTGGTTCTACTCACTTCACTTTACATCAGTCCATACAAGTCTTTCCAGGTTTTTTTTTAAAGTCAGCCTGTTCATCGTTTCATACAGCACAATAGTATTCCATTACATTCATTCATATATCACAACTTGTTCAGCCATTCCCCAACTGATGAACATTCCCTCAGTTTCCAGTTCTTTGCCACCACAAAAAGAGCTGCTATAAATATTTTTGTACATGTGGGTCCTTTTCTGCAATTCTTTTCAAAAGGAGATGTTTGCCTGTGGGTTTGCTGGTGCTGGGAAGGACAGCAGCAAAGGACGTAAGTCATGACCTGGAGTAGCAAGGCACACAGACTTCTTACTCTGTTATGACCTTGGGTTCCCTAGCCTTCTTTGAGACTTAGGTCAAGTAACTCTTCTATGTGAGGCCTCTCCTGACACCCTAGTTGTGAGTGTTCTCCCCAAATTACTTTGTATTTCTTTTGTAGATATTTTGTATGTGTATGTGTCCATCCCCTCCCCCCCCATTAGAACGTAAGCTCCTTGAGATCAGGGAGTATTTCATTTGGTTTTTGTATCATCAAGGTCTAGCATAGTGTTTGGCACATAATAGCTGCTTAAAAATGCTTGTTGAATTGTATACAGGAACAGCAACATTGTGTGATGATTAACTATGAATGACTTAGCTCTTTTCAGCAATACAATGATCCAAGAAGCATCCTATTTTCACTTTATTTTCTGTGTTTTTTTTTCTTTTTGGTCTATTTCTTCTTTCACAACATGACTAATATGGAAATATGTTTTACATGATTGCATATATATAACCTATATCAAATTGCTTAGGAAAAGGGGAGGGGAGGGAGGGAGAAAAATTTAGAACTCAAAATTTTGTAAAACTGAATGTTAAAAATTGTCTTTATATATAATTGGAAAAAATAAAATGCTATTAAAAGACTTGTTAAATTGAACTACTTCCAGCTCTGAAACAAACTAGCAGTGTGACCTTGTTGGCATACCAATTAACCTCTCTGGGCCACCATTTTCCAAATCATTTTCCAAAATTACCACCACTAGTACTAGTACTATTACAGTACTAGAACTACTAATAGTAACTGACACATGCAGTGTTTTAAAGTTTGAAAAATCCTTTTCATATCTATGTGTGTGTGTGTGTGTGTGTGTATTATACATATATATATATATACATATATATATATATATATATATATATATATCTCATTTGAGCTTCATCATAGTCTGATGAAGTTGGAACTATTATCACCATCTGAGTGATGAGGAAATTAAGGCTCAGAAGGGTTAAATGACTTGCCTGTGGTCACACAGCTAATAGCTACCAGGGGCAGAATATTTATTTCTCAACAAACTGGTGTTGGATCCCCTTCTTGCCAGATATTCACCAATTCAAGGCTAAAATACTCCGTCCTCTTCACCATGCAGCCTTAAAAGGGATGCAATTAACCCCTCCATACCTCATAGAGTCACAGTGAAGATAAAATGGAACAGTGAATGTGGTTATACTTTGAAAAGGGGAAAAAGCCATACAAGCATAAGGCACTATTAGTATTAATGATCAAGGGTGGCTTTTGGCAGAAGATGAAAGGTGGATGAAATAAGATGTGGCAGAGTTAGGGATAAGATTGTTCCAGACATGAGGAATGATATAAGGTGGGGCTCAAAAACAGGTTAGAAAAAATGAGTCTTTGGCTACAGAATGGACACAAGTAGGGAACTGTCTGATTAAGGGAGGAGGGAGTGAGATGGTAAAGTCTGTCTGTGATCAAGGAACTGTGTGATGGATTTGGATGCAAGGCCTGGTTCAAATTTTAACTCTGTCATTGATTATCTGTGTGTTTTGTTTGGGCAAATCATTTAACTTCTCTGAGACTCATGGGATCACAGGTTTAGAGTATGAAAGGACCTCAAAGTCTGTCTAATCCAATCCCTTCATTTTACAGATAAGTAAACTGAACTCAAGAGAGTTTAAGTAACATGTCCAGGGTTATGGGGGATAATAAGTGGCGGAGCTGGCATTTGAATCTAGTTCTTTTGACTTGAAATCCAGAGCTCTTCCCAATGCACCCATTTCTTCACTTATAAAACGAGGGAGGAATTGGATCACATAATTGCTAAGGTTCCTTTGAGCTCTTAATCTTATGATCCGATTCAGATGAGAATGAGAGGATGGATGGTAAAAGGTTTTCAGGAGGTACAGGACATAGCAGGTCAATGAAAGCATTTATTAAGGGCCTATTATGTGCCATGTGCCAAAGGACTGGAGGTACACAGAGAGGCAAAAGACAGTCCCTACCCTCAAGGAGCTCACAGTCTAATGTGGGAGCCAGCACGCAAACAACCATGTGCAAATAAGAGAGATAGGATAATTGGGAAATAATCAACACAGGGAAGTCACTAACATTAAGGGGGATCAGGATAAGCTTCTTGTTTTTTGTTTTCTGTCCTTTCAGTCATGTCTGACTCTTCCCGACCCCATTTGGAGTTTTCTTGGCAAAGACAGTGGAGTGGTTTGCTGTTTCCTTCTCCAGCTCAATTTACAGATCAGGAAACTGAGGTGAACACAGTTAAGTGACTTGCCCAGGGTCACACAGCCAGTAAGTGTCTAAGGCCAGATTTGAACTCAGGCTTTCCTGACTCCAAGCCTGCTAGTCTACCACTGTGCCACCTCACTGTCCCCAAAGCATCTTATAGAAGGTGGGATTTTAGCAGGGACCTGAAGGAGTCCAAGGAAACCAAGGAGGTGGAGATGAGAGACAGCATTCCACGGATGGTGGGCAGCCAATGAAAATAATCAGTGTCTTGTAAGAGGAACAGTAAGGAGATCAGCGTCACTGGATCACCAAGTGTGAGTGTGTGTGAAGAGGAAGGGGTAGGAAGACTGGAAAGGTAGGAAGTGACCAGGTTAGGAAGAGTTTTTAATACAAAACAGAGACTTTTATATTTGATTCTGGAAGCAACAGGACAAAACAAAGGATTAGAATGAACAAAGTTAGGATTAAGTTTGCGAAGATGGGGTGGCATTGAGAGGCGGTATGATGGATCAAAGGACCTTGGTTCAAATTCTAGCTCTGCTACTTATTACCAGTATGAGCCGCAGGGACAGGGGACGAGGATAAGGAGGCACCAAATGGCATTCCTACTAGGGAGTGACATCAGTGATGGGGAAGACAGCCGGGAAGGAGGTTGATAAGCATGTGTTTGTTCAGATGAGAGAAGCGTGTGAATCTAATGGACTGTTCAGTTATATCCACGTAGCAGGGCCCATGGTATAGTAGGGGGTAGAGTACTGGGTGCAGTACCAGGAAGATCAGGTTTCCCATTCAGCCTTTGATAGTTACTATTTGTGTGACCACGGACAAGTCACTTAACCCTTTCTGTGCTTGTTTTCCCATCTACAAAAATGGGTATGATGACAGCAGTACTTGACAGGGCTGTTATGGAGTTCAAATGAGATAACGTATGTAAATCACTTCGAAAATCTTAAAGCATCCTATAAATGTCAGTTAGCACTGCTGCTAGCCAGCAAGTGTGGCCCAGGCTCTCTTTACTGAAGGCGCTGTGTACATTTGGCTTCCATGCCTACCTTCTCCCTTCATACCCAAATATTTTACCCTCCTTTCTTCTTCACTCCTCAGGTTTTGGGGGAGTCTTTGCTGGACGGTGAAAGTGACTATTCTCTTAAGGGAAGAGTGGGTGCAGGAGGATGGGATGGGGGAGAGGGAAGGAGAAAGCCTTTTTTTTATCCTGCAAACTTGACAGTCTTAAGGGGTTTGTGTGTGTGTGTGTGTGTGTGTGTGTGTGTGTGTGTGTGTGTGTGGAGGGGTCTATGATCTGTGATTTGGAGGGAACAGAGGCGGTGAACACTTCTGGCCAAGGACTGGCTATGCTAATGTTAATGTACTCTTGGTGAATTTTTTTTTTTTAGTATTCCGACTCAGTCTTTGTCTTGTGCTTAATTGTTTTGTGTGCAGAAAACCTTGTTAGGCCAGAAAACGTGTCTTTTTTTCTTGATTAACCTTTACACACCACCAAAAAGCTCTCCCTAAAGTTCACCATCCTAGCCCAGCTGAAAAAACCTGAAGGAGGAAGAGAGAGAAGTGAGGCCCAAAGCAGTAATCAGAGCTGCAGCATTGGCTCGCTCCACATACTGTCTTCCTTCTCTCTCCCAGCTCCCTACAATTCTCCTCACGACTTGGAGCTGTGCTCCGGGGATAACTCCCCCTTCTCCCATCACCTTGTGCCAGGCAGAAGTCCAGGTGGCAAGGATTCAGGTCAGGTCTAAATGTGGCTTCACAGCCCAGCTTGGCTCCTCTTCCCAGCACCAGCTTGTTAAGAAATAAATATTTATACCTGGCACCTGCCTCTTCCTCGGGCCTGGAGGCCCCTACTGTGAAGTTTCACGCTGAATCCCCAATCCCCTCTGTGTAATTTTGATTATGAAGTAAGCTGCCCCCTCCCAACAATCTTTCCCTAGAGTGTGGGGTCCCCAGGGATTGCTCCCTTTGAATGTGTGAGCTGACCAGGCAGCAGCGGGGCCCCTGATTTAGTGATAACTGTTTATAAAGTAGAGGAGGGTAAAGCAAAGGAGTGGGTGACAGAAGACATAAATCACCTCCACACTAAGAATCTAGCAGCAGCAGCAGCAGCAGAGCTAGCTTGGAGAGGGGCTCCAGCTGGGTAATAGCAGGAACCTGAGTGGGGAGACCCTCAATGTTGCCTCTCATTCCCAGAGTGTCTGGGCTCTGGGATCTCTACTGCCAGTCCTTGCTAGTTCACATCCAGCACTCACTGGACTCATCTGAGGGCACATAGGAAGAAAAGAAGGAAATCTCCAAAGATGAATGCCTGGGGTGGGGGTGGGGGGACATTTTCATCTTGGCCCCTCGTTCTAATCTTCTCATCTTATTCCCTTAACCTTCCACACAGTGTCTTTCAGTGTTCCTCCAACTCACCGTCCTGTCCACACAGGCCACGGAGCGGCCGGCAAAACGGCTGGCCACCCCACGACGGACGTTGACCTCGTCACTCAGGATGTCCTCCCAGCGGCCATTCCGAAACTTGAACAGCTTGTCCGTGTAAGTGGCAACCCCTGGAAAGAGGAGATGCAAAGCTGATGGCAAGTCAGGAGGCCCAGCCCAGCACCCTGGCCAGGGCATGTCCATATGATGTCCACTGGGAATCTCCCTTTCCCCCTCCCCTAATACAAATATGGCATTGGAGATATGGACATCTAGAATCTCTTGCCATGAAGAAACCTGAGAGCAGTCCAGACCCATATCTGTCAGAAGTAATGCTGCCAGAACTGAAAACTAACAGGATGCCTAACAATTGGGGAATGGTTTAACAAATTATAGTACATGAATCTAATGGAATACCATTGTGCTGTAAGAAATGATGTAGGGTGTGTTTCAGAGAAACATGGGTAGACTTGTATGAACTCATGCAGAGTGAACTGAGCAGAACCAGGACAACAATTTACGTAATAACAGCATTGTAAAGACAAACAACTTTGAGGGACTTGAGAAGTCAGATCAATGCACTGACCAGCCGTGATTCTCCAGAACTGATAAGGGCATGTGCTACCTACCTCCTCCCAGAGAGGGGATGGGCTCAGGGTGCAGAATGACACATGTATTTTTCGGAAACGGACAATGTGGGAACTTGTTTTGCTTGACTTGAATATTTTGACAAGGGTTTTGATTTTCTTTTTCCAAATGGAGGAGGTGGAAGAGAGAAAAAATAGATTTTTTAAAATTGAAAAACAATTAAATTAAAAAAAAGTAATTCTGCTTGGCTATTCTATGATAATGACTCAAACCAGGGATTCACAACAGAATCAGGAGAAGAAAGGATAGTCAATGAATCCAGAACATGAGGGGCTCCAACACTGAGAGGAGATTGATTGCCTCTATCACCTACAGAACAGGAAGGCTGATGATTCCTTTCAGTGGCACAATCTCTTTGAGTAAAAAAAAAAGGAGTTTGGGAAGGGTCCTGGCAGGAAGGAGACAGGAAGCATGATGTCTTGGAAGAAAACAATTTAAAATCAGCAGGCCAATTTTCAAGGTTCAGCTCTGCTTTTTAATGTCTGTAAAAGTTTGGGCAAATCATGTAACCACCCTGGATCTCAATTTCCACTTTTCTAAAGTGGAGTTGAACCAAATGACCTTTATCGTCTATTATAATTCCCCAAATCCTATAATCTAGGGTGAAGATTTCCCTAAGGACAACCCCATGGCCTCTTTCTCTTAGAATTGGAAATCCTTTAATGGAAAGTGGGAAGAATTCAGTTCAATTTATAGCATTTATTAAGTACTTACTATTTGTGAGATACAGTGCTAGGGCTACAAAGACATGAATAGTTCAGCAACCTGAGTACTTATTGACTTGTCCAAGCTCAGTTCTTCCCCTTTACCCTTCTCTCTCACTTTTCTTCTTTTATTAAAAACAACCGATATTCTCACTTTGTGGACTGGCATGGGAAACCCTGGGAAGAAAAGCCAAGGAAGGGAATGGATGAATTAAAAAAGAATCATTTGTTAAGTGCTTACTTTGTGCTAAACACTGAGGATAGAAATAGAAAAAGTCAGTCTCTGCTCACAAAGGGCTTATACTGTGGTTGAGGGAGATAACATAAAAGAGAAAGTTTAGCTCTAGGGCAGAAGGAAAGGCCCCAGTGTCTTCAAGGTGTGGTAGTAGGTCTGATGGCAAGGCCAAGGGATCCTTAGGTTACAAGGGAGAACAAAATGTATACCAGTCAGGAACTCAAAAGAACTGGGTTCTAGTCTTGGCTCTGTGACTCTGGGGAACTGCCTACAATTGTCCACTATCTGGGGACTCTGAGAGCCATAGTTTCCTCAGCTGTAAAATGAATAAATGAATTCTAATATTTGCTCCAGTCCTAACTTTTTCTGAATCAATAATTTTTAAGGTGACCGACCCTATGATACCTACTATTCAAGTTTATAATGACTTGTCAAGAGTCAATAATGGGGTGGCTTCAGCCTAGTGCTCAGGACATTCAGTCCTGAAACATAGCATGTGGGAGATTTCCCAAAGAGGAAGGAGCTAGAGTCTTTGAGGAAGAAGTAGCTGCTTGTTCTCCAAAGAATGATGATAAGACCCTAGAGACGTTGTCAGGTGAGAGATTATCCAATAAGGGTCAGGGGAAAATAAGACTGAGTAGTTATGGTTGCTGAGGGGTACCGAGGTCAATATTTGTCAAGATGATAACAGAGAGGTCTGCCATCTTGCTGGAACCTGTACTCAGGATGTGACAGAAAACCTCCCATGACTTGTCAGACTGGATGACTACTACCCAAGCCTGGTGATTCACATGGGCATACATGTAGCTGCCAAAGAAAATGAAAGCACTGATAAAGGTTGTGAAATTTTCGACAAGAAATTGAAGGTCTTAGGTGTATGGGTTGTGTTCTCATAGTTGTTAACAATTTGAAGGAAAAGCTTTAAAAAGAGAAAGGAAGATTTGGGATGTGAATGGCTCATTTAAGAAGAGGGTTTCTGTTTTGAATTTTTGGACTACAAAATAAAATAGGGGAATGACGGGTTCCTGGTCAGGGATGGAAGCCACCCTAACAAGCTTTGGTAACCACTATTTGACTGGAGCTTGGCTAATCTATTAAAAAGGGCTGTAGACTGAAGAGGAGGGGGGAAGAGGGATAGTGGAAACTGCCTACAATTATCCATGAAGGTGAATACACAGAATATAACAAAGTGAATTGGAGATTATAATACAAGGAGGCAAATTTGAATATCCATCCATATGACTTAATAGGATAAGACCAACGAGTAGAATGTGCCTCTGGAAGGGTACATTGTAAACAAAATCAACAGGATAGGTAAAAGGGATGGGGGGAGAGGAGGGTATGATGGTGCAAAGTAACATTGTATGTTAAAAGAATACTTATATTTATGTGAGGAAACCAAGGAAGCAGAGAGGAGAATGGTGAAGAACATTTTGATGAAGATCAGGAAGGGCAGAAACAGAAAGAAGTGATATTGTCACTAGAGTAGACTACAGACCACCTACACACAAACAGGGAATAGATGAGGAGTTTGCCTAACACTGAAGCATGATAGGGTAATGATGGAAGTCTCTGATTATCTCAACATATAAAGGAGGCTTCTCTCTGTCCAAAGCAAAGAGATTGATGGTTTCCTGATTTGCCTTGATAATTTCATCCTTCGAAAGGTGGAGGAAACAAGGGGAATTGATATTCTGCATCGAATTCTCCCCAACAAGGTTACTTGGTGGAAAAGATTGGGAATTTTGGAAGTGACTTTCTCCTTGGAAAGCTAGGCACAGTCTGACAAACATCTCACAAATTTTGAATGCTTCAGAGAAAGGACATGTCCTAAAATTCTGAAGGGGAAGTTAGTCCAGGAGGGCACCTTCCAAGGATGAAAAGACACAGAGAAAGTCCAGGTGTGGTGATGCATGCCTGTCATCCTTGTTACTTGGGAAGGCTGAAGAAAGCGGGTCGCTTGAGTTTGGGAGTTCTGAACTACAGGACGGCCAAAATTGACCAGATGTCTACATTAAGCCCCATAGCAATATGGTAAGCCTCTGAGAGCAAAAGGCCATCAGGTTGCCTTTGTTGTTTCTGTCATTTCTGACTTTTCTGTGATATTATTTGGGTTTTTATTGGCAAAGATACTGGAGTAGTTGGCTATTTCCTTCTCCAGCTCATTTTACAGATGCGGAAACTGAGGCAAACAAGGTTAAGTGACTTGCCTAGGGTCACACAGCTACTAAGTATCTGAGGCTGGATTTGAACTTAGGAAGATGAGTCTTCCCCATTTCAGGTCCTACACTCTATCTACTATGCCATCTAACTACCCATCATGCTATCTAAGGAAGGGCAAACCGGTCCATTTCAGAAAAACAGAACAGATTAGACCTTCCACACCAATAAGTAGGGAGATCAGACCCTTGACTGCGCCCACTCTCAATCTTGCTTTCAACTTGGGTAAGAGAGGGAGTCACTCAGTCAATTAGCACTTATTAAATACCTACTATGTGCCAGGGCATTGTGCTAAGTTTTAGGGATACAAAGAAAAGAAAAAACAAACAAACAAACAAACAAACAGTTCTTGCTCTCAGGGATTTCACAACCTAGTGAGGCAGAAAGGGAGACCTGGTTCAAAAAAAAAAGACATAAAGGGAAACAATCCTGATGTGGAAGAAAAGAGGACCCATTTAGTGAGATAAGTATGGATAAATAGGGAACTCATGCACCCGCTTAATTTGAAAAAGATGGATGCAACATCAGGTAAAGGAGGATGAGGACAAAAGCGTCAGTGTCAGGAGTACTTCAAGCTCAGAATAAATTAAGACAGAGAAGTCATGCTAAGAACCAAAAAGGAGAGGAGGACCACTGCCCAGCAAGGAGGGGATGGCCACTGATGATGGACAGAAGGTGGAATTCAATAACCTTTAGTTTGTTTCTGATTTCTCTGCCAAGGTGAGTGATATTTGGATTGGAAATGATAGAACAAAGTGGATCCTAGGAAGTTAATATTCCGAATAAGTAGAGACATAGCAAGGGAACACTAGCTGCCTTAATGAGTTCATATCACCAGGGCCAGATGAACTACAACCTCCAATCCTGTAAGAATGGGCTAACGTGATTATTGAACCAGTGTCAGTGACCTTTGAAAGATCATGAAGCATTGGAAGGTATAGCAGGACTGGAGAAGAGCAAATGTTGTCCTGATTTTCAAAAGGGGGGGGAGGAGAATAAAGCCTGCAAGCTATAAGCCATCAGAGCTTGACTAGGGATTCCTGGCAAAATTCTAGCCTGTTATCAGTGGCCAGTGACAGTCTAGAGAGGGAATCATCTGCCAAAGCCAGCATGGCTTCATCACCAACAACGCATGCTAGCCTAACTAGGGAATGTGCCATTTCAGAGGCACATTCTACGCACTGGTCTTATCCTATTAAGTCATAGATAGATAGATACATACGTACATAGATAGATACATAGATACACAGATAGATAGACGTATGTAAAAATTTGCCTCCTTGTGTTATAATCTCCAATTCACTTTATTATATTCTGTGTATTC